ATTGTGGTAAAATTAACCAGGTTATATTAAAATCTGGCAGTACGCCTTTAGCAGGAACCCTGACAAGTTCATGCGTTTGATGTACGAATCCTTCAAAAAAGAGTTTACATTCACTCTATTTAAGAGAACTATCTGGATAGCACGCTTTTCAATGGACACCACGTAAAAAGGGCATTATAAAAGTCTACCATGTCCATATTCGACGCATGATCGTGCATTATCATTGATGTAACACCTTGGAGTTGTCCTCCATTGATTTATTGTTGTGAAAACTGCAAGAGAACGGACGCAACTGCAAACATTTACTGGCACGTTAATAACTTAGTAGTTGATCGGTTATGTATTGGACTGCCATTGACGTTATTAACTATTGGTGTTGCTGTGTGCGATAACAGCAGCCGGATAGCAACACAAACTTATCAAAATTCGCCTTTACGTTCCTGGAAAGCAACCACACCGAGACTGGGTCGTGCGCGGTAAAAATATGCATCGCCTGATAAATATCACCATCATAAAATCGAACATTTTTGAGCTGAGACATGAAAATGCTAAGTAACGCGACCTTACATATACGTTATGTTGGATAATTTCAATGATGCACAGTTTTCACATAATTTCCAGATTAATGTATTATTTACAGTTTTAATTATAGTTTTGTATTTTATTTTACTTTCAAATAAAGCAACATAGTTGAGGGTTGCTCTTTTTTGCACAGTGTTGCTCCACTGATTGATTTTCAGCACGATGTTTTGCTGTTATTGCCAGCTCACGTGCTTGATCCAGATTTTCAATGATTCGTAGCGCCACGCAATTTAACAATCCAGTTTTCATTGGAAATAAGTTGTTTGTATCTGGTGGCTATACCCAGTATATTACTTATACAGCTGCAGTATACGGGCATGCATTTTGGTAAAATTATTTATCGATACTTAATAGAAAATCAGGCGATGTTGCCTTTTTAAGTATGAAAACGCGATTACCTTTTTTTCGAGATTCCCGCACAGGTTCATATTCTTCTAGCATCTCCTATCCACCGTCGCTATGAGCATCAAATAATTTAAATTCAATGTAATAATTTATCTAGCTCGCTCATCCGTCATTGTCGCTTCATTTATATTTGGAAAATCTTCAGCATAGTAATTTAACCAAACATGATCATCACCGTCGTCGGCAAACTCGACTTTTACATCTCTGATATAACCATAGAGACCAAGTCGATATGACAACTTAGCCGGATGTATAATTAGTCAGTCAAAGTTAAATTTTACTATGCTGATTGGAACACGAGTTGATATTGATGTCTAATCGTCAACATATAAACTATTCACAATTATTTTAAAAAATAATTATTAATCTGGATTTTGTGATTTTCGTGTTTTATTTTCCTTAGCGAATCTTCCATTGTCCCATACGTGCCAATTAACATTATTCCATAACCAATACACAATTTGAATGCTGATCTTACGCCTACACCCAATTTTAAAATAGTATCAATCCACATCCACGACAATATCAATGTCCTATGCTGCCAGCAATATTCGTTAACACACCGGTGACCACACCTCCTGCCTTTCTGGCAATTAACCATGCGCAGAGATTTCTTCCAATCATTATATTCATTGTTAATCTTTAAATTGATTGAAATTTGACTATATAAAAACATGGCATTGAAAAAATTAGATCAGTTTTCAGATGATCAATGAGTGAAATTTTAAGAGTAAGATATAAGATATCGGAAGATATTACTCAACTGCAACAACTCGTTCAGGTATTAGAAGAATAAAGAAGGGTCGCAAGGTTGAAATTAATGATGAATCAAAGATGAAATTAATGGTGATTCACATCACACTGTAATACGTCGACGATTACAATATTTGTATCGGAGTCATAATATCTAATGTTCGATTTTGATAAAACAATAAAAAATTGTAAGTATCAAATACCGATAATTATTTTAGAAACTTCTGTGTGCTACCAACCACCGCAACAAGAGGTCATCGTCGAAAATGCCGACGAATGGCTATCTAGGATAGGTCTGGGCTATCTAGGATAGGTCTGACGAAGAAATGGACGTCTACAAAACGTGATGCGGAAGCACTCGGTGTTACTACAAAGCTAAAAGTCTTTCGTGTCTTACATATCTACCAATCCCAGTTTTCGATTGTTGTATGAAACCCTTAATTTACTTAAAGCCATTCTGTAACAGGCACTTGCAAGTATTCTAAAATATGAAGCGGATTTGAAAACATCTTTTCTACCACTAAATATATATGAAGTTTCCGAAGCAACTGCAGGATTCGAGTGAGATTGACATGTCATTCATCTTTGATTCAAAAGCAGAAAAGAACAAAGATATATGGAATCAATTAGGTAATTATCAGACTTCTTAAACTCTTGTGATTACAGTATTATCTTTGATTTCACATTAGCGACCCAGATTTTATAGTTTTAACTTTGTCAATCGGTATTTTTCGAAGAATATAATTAAATGTGTTTTTCAACTTGCACCATTACTTTCTAATGCGTCCAAATCTACTTAGAGTGAATTTCAGTCCAGCTGTTCATATGCAAACATAGCGATGGGAGAAAGTTTGAAATCTATTAACTACTTTCAATATTTTCTATGTAACCGTTCTTTATTGTCTGCTTTAAAAACAATCTAAGATTTAACAGCATAAAACAAATTTGGAGATGCAAAATAATGAACTAAAATCATGACTGTATTCACTGGACATTGCAGGTTATTAATATTATTCAGAGTTACGTTCATTGCTTTGACATCTTCACCAGCATTACTCTAAGATGCACATCGAAAAATGGCCTCTCTTGGTAAAAACTAGTCCTGTATAATTAAAATGCTCTACAATGTCTAGAAATGAATTTCCGTATTTAAATGAAACATCAATTCTTCAAGCTCTTTGTTAAACTCACAACCCTTGTTTTATCAATATTTATAGTTTCCATCCTCCTTTACAGTATTCATGTAATTTATATATGATTGCCTGTGGACCATTTGCTGTTTCTGAAATTATCACAGTATCATCAGCAATGACTAAACGTTAAAAAAAAAATTTCTTCTAAAATGACTCACTCCTGTATAGCTGATTGTAATGCAATTGCCGGATCACTTATATTGAACAGAAAACAGAAGAGGAGAGATGTTCTACTCCTGAACACGCCTAAGTGAATAAGTGTGTGTTTAAGTGCTTTACACATGTCTCTACTGAACTCGAAAACGTATTATTTATTAAGAAATACCACAATCCCTATCAACCATATTTGGATGCAAGTTTCGTTGCGATGTTCTGTCTTTTTAAAAATATCCAATCATATTTAAATTTACGGAAATGAGCTTTATGGTAATTATCATTTTATCTATTTGTCTATCTTGAATTTAAAACGCCAGTCTGCAGTAGCTCGCCATGTCATTAAAAGCATTTCAAATGTGGCCTATCAAAATGCATTTACTAATTAGCTAAGCTTGATATAACACCTACCTGATATGATGGCTGCCTCCTCTTTGATGATCAATTCATCGAAAAGCTTGCCCATTATGAATCAAATAAGTATTTGTAAAGCATTTAGATGCTTACCACCTTTTGCTAAAATCATGTCATATAAAAACGAAAGCATTAAAGCAAGAAAATTTGGCTTTTTAGTAGAAACTTGATCATGATATTAATTAGTTACTATTAATCAGACTAATCATGTCACAGGCCATTCAAATAAATAATTACCTTATTATCAACATCTGGATCCTATTTTGTATTCAATCTGTTTTTATAGAGGATAAACAAGCATAATTTATTGATATAGTAAGAGCAAAATATATGCATTACATCGTTATTTTATGTTCCCTTTAACATGTGAAGTTTTCGTCGTCTGTAATATTAACAGTTTTTCATTGATTTAATTTTCGTTAAAGGTCTGTCATGTGTCAGAGGTTTAAATATGCATTTCAGAATCAAATTATCGCATTCTGTTGAGAGTAAAATGGCAGTAACATGTTTCTTCTAGAGGACAGATACTCCGAAAAGGCGTTGATTACTCGTCATTTGCTATATAAACGCTTTTTCTTATAACAAATTGACAGAGCATGCGTAAGCTATAAGGAGGCTCGCCAAAGACAAATAAAAAAATCTTATATATTGTCATCAAGTAGTGGCCAAATTTATTTAATTTTTATGGGTATAGAGTCAAATATTTAATTGAAATATTTGGTTTATTTTATGTTTAGCATTGACCTGCGTGTCAGGATATTGCTAGAATTGCGATAAGCGTGTCAAAATATTGTTAGAATCACGATATTAGTGTAAAATATTGCTAGAATCGCCATAAAAAAGGACAATACAAAAATCACTTGAAAAGATATCTTAGATTAGATGGACATGAGATAACTATTTTACCTATATTACACTAATGTATATGGCGTTGATTGCAATATTTGACAGCCTCATTGGTAGACCAGCAATTATCTAACAACAGATGTTTGATAATTGGACAATTAATAATTGATAATTGTAGATCGCTCGGGGAAATGCGTCATTGATATAATCATCCATTTATTGGCAAGCAAATTATTAACAACAGATGTTTATTAATTGGACAATTGATAATTGATAATGTTAGATCAATCTTGGGAAACGTGTCATTTATATTACAAGAAGCTGTCTGGCTTGCGGTGACGTATTTAGGAGCACCAATCGCATCCCAAACATTGATACCTAACTAATAATTGGCTGTAGAAAATGAACTAAATATATTGGTTCGATGCAAGTATTATTTTTAACGTAGTTTTAACAATTTTTCAGTCATATCGCTACGATGTCTGCAGTGTGGCAGTTTATAGTGATGTCTAGCACTGGGACATAATGACGCAGACATGTAGCATGTCCCACCCAATCACATTATTCTGAAACCAGGCCGACCCAACCTAAGACTGAGCTCCTAATGATGAGCGCCAAGCGAGGCAGCTGTTAGTACCATTTTTGTAAGTCTTATGTATGACTTGACCGGGGATTGAACCCACGACCTCCCGCTTTCTAGGCGGACTGTCTAACTACTTGGCCACCATAGCGATACAATATATTGGTGAAATGAATAATATGAACAAATTTTCATGACTCATTCTCTCTCTCTCTCTCTCTCTCTCTCTCTCTCTCTCTCTCTCTCTCTCTCTCTCTCTCTCTCTCTCTCTCTCAAATGGAATGTGATGACTTGGCATGCATGCACGCAAACAGACTGCTTTAACCCTACTATTTCGCTATATGTTCCCTTTTTCTCTTAGTTATTATTGTTCTTCAATTTTGCATTGTTTCCAAGGATGTGTAAGTTAAAGCGCTGAAAATCATGTGAACTGTAACTGAAAGAAAAAAAATGCTCTCTCTCTCTCTCTCTCTCTCTCTCTCTCTCTCTCTCACTCTCTCTCTCTCTATATATATATATATATATATATATATATATATATATATATATATATATATATATATATATATATATATATATATATATATATATATATATTTGTGTGTGTGTGTGTGTGTTTATAAAGTGCGAGTAGATATAAGATCATCATTGTCTTGAATCTCATTTTAGTCTACCTACCTGGTAACACAGAGGCAGTGCAAGATTTCTTAAAACCAATATATCATGATTTGAAACTTTCATTGATACACCTTGAGCATGTATATTTCTCCAACAATGACTTCACATAGTCTTATTTGGAGTAGATGCTAGTAGGGGCTACAGGTATCATGTCAATCACGGTGATGATACTGATATATTAATTCTACTTGTGTATTCTTATTTCTTCTTCTTCTTCTTCTTCTTCTTCTTCTTCTTCTTCTTCTTCTTCTTCTTCTTCTTCTTCTTTTTTTTTTATTATTATTATTATTATTATTATTATTATTATTATTATTATTATTATTATTATTATTATTATTATTATTATTATTATTATTGAATTATTAAAGACACATAAATACATACATATCATGATGGAAAAACCAAGAACAAAGATGACGAGTGCCGTACTATCGTCAGTGACCTCTTGTTTTGACAATATGTTAACTACACATTCTCTGCTGGAAAGTGGTAAACACAAAGGTTTAAATATGTTACATATATGTATCACTAATATCTGTAAAAGACGCCAGACTCTCTTACAATATCGGAAGTAGAAGGTCTGCTCGACAACATGGTGAAAAATTCCATAATCAAACTTTAAGGTACAAAAAAAAACAACAAATGCAAGAGTCTATGAAAATAAAATTAAAAACTTTGTATGTTGGGAAGAATATAATTTATATACTAAGCCAAACGATGAGCCTTTTCTGGGTAAAACATTTACCTCCAGATGAATTAAACAGTGTTGGTGTTTGAACGCTAAAAGAAATAATAGTTTTAGTTGCTTTGCAAGTTACTGATTTTTCTTTCAAATCACCTTTTTAAGCTTTTTAAAACTGTACTTGTAACAGTTCTTAAACGTTATATGAAGAGTGTGCATTGAATCACAAATATGAAACATTTATTTTTGTCTGGTGTTAATTGTCATAAAATAAACCAATGGCTCTATTGTTGTTCATATGTTTGAATATTTTTAAATTAAATATTTTACTTCGTCTGTATTCACATATTCTCCGTCTATATTATCTTGTTGTAAATAGGTATAAATTAACTTCCGTGTGTTTTCTTTTCTATATAAGTTGCGTTTCGAATTCATTAATTCTCTACCATTATAAGCAATCACTCTCAGTGTGTATATTAAAATAAACAACAATGTGTTACTGTATACATTTAAATTATATTCTTGTTGAAAGATGAAATAACACAGTTGTTTAATCAAAGAGTGAAAACTGAAAAGACTGTACTTTTCCCCTGTGCTTCTCTTACGAGCTCAAATGGAAAAAAAATAATTTTAATTCATCGTTTTAAGCCAACTAATAAGAAAGAGAATAAAGAAGAATCCTTCCAAGTATCTAATTTTGACACATGCCAGTCCACTCGAACGTTTTAACAGTATTTTGAATATTAATTATTCAGGTCTATAAGTATACATTTTATGAATTAATTACCGAGTAATTAAACTGCTAATTAACTATAGAAGATCTAACCTTAAGTGAAAGGCTTCATAAGTTTGGTTAGTCTCCACTGTCGACCTGAATGACGCACAACTATCTTATATTTTAAACATACTGTCCATAGGAAGTTCCTGCTTTTGTTACTTATATTTACATATTTCCTTATTTAGGGTAAAGTCTACTTAAAACCGATCACTGAACATTCGATTGTAAAGCAGTTAAGAGAAATTTAAGAAATCTACAACTAGTAAAAGTTCTAAATTCTTTCATAAATGATTTTAAAAATTCATAAAGGAAAAGAAACGTTGCGTTTCTGCTACTCAAAAATACTTTCAAATCTAATTATATTCTACGGGTACAATCGGACATACATTATTCACTATACAGAACGTTGATTTAGAGACGAACGTATGGATACAAGGATGACTGGAATAGGATGATAGGAAAATATAATATCTATCCACATAGTATCCTAAACTATGCATCATCTAACATTGTTAACAAGGACAACAAGCGGACGACCTTTGACAAATGAATGTGACTAAAGCTAAAGTTAGTGAGAAATAAAATCACATTTGAATTACTGTTGCCGTAACGCATCTGAAACACCCATCCCAACTTTCCTATCAAAAGGAGTTAGCATCTGAATTGCTTAGTTTAGCAAACACATAATACATTGTTGAAACAACACACTTCAATGTATACTTACACACACTCATATATATAGTATTCATTCATATATATATATATATATATATATATATATATATATATATATATATATATATATATATATATATATATTCATATTCTCATTGCTCTTATATGAGACTTTTTCTATTTTTAAGGGACAAGCTATTGAAGTTATTGTCTTATCTGGAGATCAAATTTTGCAGAAAAGAAACTCATTGGAAAGCTTAGATCATTTCGAAGGCTTTTCATTAAAGACATTCAGAAATTTGATAGATTCTACCTAAGAAAATGCAGGAATAATATCACACCCAATAATATATACATGGACCTATCTTTATGTATACGTCAAAAATCGATTGTAGTAAGGATTATTTTCCGGACAGTAAAGTTTATGATTTTAGAAGACTTAAAAGTTTCTACGTTTAACTTAATTTTGTAAACTTAGGCCATTGAAAGTGCGAGTAAAAGCTTCAAATAAATTTATAAAGCCTTACCTGATTATACCAAATTCTGCATTAAAACACTGTTTATGGACAAGAGCAAGTTCCGTTAAATAACTACAAAAAAGTTTTAAAATACGGGTAATGGGTGAAGTTCTTCCCTATATTAACCAATTATCAACCAGGCTTTCCTTGTCAAAAATGGTTACTACAAACGCGTTAAGAACAAAATCAAACCACTCGTCTTCTAAACTAAGAAAGCGGAAAGCCTATGGAGGAAATAGGATATTGCCTAAAGCAAAGAAAAGAAATGTTTTCTCCAAGAAATGCAAGACTAGCATAACCAGTATAATGCAAATAAAAGAAATTTTTTTAAATGTAGGTATGTAACAGATATATATGTAATAGCGTTGTACGGCAAGTCTTAGTCTATACGCGCCTGAAGTTCGGAGAAAACGCTTTAGCAAAATTAAAGCCTTTCCAAATACTGGCAAACATGCTCAAAATAAAATATAATAGTGATATATATATATATATATATATATATATATATATATATATATATATATATATATATATATATATATAAGCATATCAAACAACAAAAGACAAGGATAGCACATTAAAAATCCCGATAACATTTGGAAGAAATAAGGAGCATTCCCCGAAAAGTCTAATATTTTCACGACTGGTACAACATCATGCAGTTTCTTCATCCAGTTTACATTAAAATGATGTGTTTACAGATGAAAAGAGAAAAAAATTATAAAGAAAATGCGATATAGGAAAGTTATTTAAAAATGTTATATACTTGGTTATCAATTTTATTGCATCTTGAATCCAATAATAAATGTTTTGCCGATAGATAGACCAAACAGCATTTTATTCATTGTACTGCAGCAGTATATAGCTACGTATCGGCTCCTTCAAAGTAATCTAAAAAAGAGTAAAACCAACAAGCTTTGGTTTATTTATTTCTCTAGAAAACAGGCTGAAAAGGTAAGAATGTGAAGAAATAGGACTTACGTTTATGAAGAAAGTCCAAACATTTGTCCTTGAATTGTGGAAGCCATGCAATTCCTATCAATAAACAGCTCAAATTGAAGCTAGTATGAATCTTAATTCCGTTCCAGTGATGGATGATGTTGTCAGGTGACCTTTCCATACAAAAGTCCAGAATTTTCACTTTGAATCACAATTTGCACTGTTCTGTTTCAATCTAGAATTAATTTCACCACAAGACTTTCTCCAAAGCCAGTTGTGTAAAATTTTCCAGGGAAAATAATTATTGTTTAACAAGTACATGAACTACAGCTGATTCTATAACAATATTAATTTCGGTCTACAGACGCTAAAATGAACATCCCTTTCTAGAACCAGAAAAGAATACATTTCTTCAATGAATATGAACTACCCTATAAGGTGTTAAAATATGACTCTAACTGAATGAATGACTTTTTCACAGGTAAAAATGATTGCTTGCCAAATCATAAGAATTATAATTACTTTCTAACTAAACACGATGTGTCACTCATAATTTTCAGACCCTGTGAATATAATCATCGTAATAAAATATAATGATGCAAAAACGAAATAGAAAGGAATAAAATTTTAACACACAAGTAATAAAACTAAATAATCATATATATATATATATATATATATATATATATATATATATATATATATATATATATATATATATATATATATATATATATATATATATATATATATATATATATATATATATATATATATATATATGTATATATATATATATATATATATAATTAGCACATAAATTGATAAGGGTGCAAGATATAAACGGTTTCCGAACGTTTGGGTCTGAACAAACTCATCAT